CCCTCCAGCTTGAACGTGCCCTGCCCTTCCAGCACCTCTGGCTCTGGGGACGAGGGGTTCTCTGCATCTCCTAACGTGGAAAAGTTAAAACATGAAATAGACAAACTGACAGAATCTGGATGAGAACAGTAATCACAATGATTCTTTAGTGCTCACACTATTCTGCTCACTATGAGCATTTTTATTCGAGAAGCATGAAAAGAAAAAAGATCTAAAGAAAAACTAAGAAAAAAACATTTCATGTTGTAACATTGTAACTTGCATTTATTAACTAATAAACTGATGAAAATATTCATCTAAACTTTGACAATATAAGTCACTAAAAGCTGAAACGAGCCATGAGATTCATGGTTTTCTAATGGAAGCATCTAAACTCATGATGAGAGTGAGAACTGTGTGTTTTTATAAAACAAAAAGTCTATTCTTTCCTTTAAAAACATTCAACTTTAAGTCCTCTTAGATAAATATTTACCACCTGTTTGTTCAGTTAAATTCTGTTTGACATGCATGGAAGTGCCTGTGAATCCCATCTTTATCCCTCCACAGATGTTCTGTCCATCTGACATTTTATCCATTCAAACATCGCATGTGTCAGGCAGTGGTCAGGGATGGAGGCTGTGGCAGTCTGATCCCTAGATACCGAGGCTGGCTGCTGGGACATGAAATGCCACCTCTCTGGTGGGGAAGGAGTCTGAGTGAGTGTGAGGTTGAGCGATATTGGCTGACTATAGCAGGCTCAACACATGGCTTTGGTTTGGAACCAGTCTCCTGGAGAGGTCCTGGACTGTTCAAGTCACTGCTCCATCTAGTGACTCTTCTTACTGGGAGACTTCAACACTCACGTGGACAGTGAGACCTGAAGGGGGTGACTGGGAGGAATGGCCTGATCCGAACCAGATCAGGCAGGTTCTGTTTTTGGCTTCTGTGCAAATCACAGTTTGTGCCCATACACACACATGGTACCAGGACACCATAGGTTGATGATCAGTTGTCTTATTGTCATCAGATTTCTGATCTATCCAGAACAGATCTCTGTGATCTTTTCGAACATTCGCATGAAGAGAGGACTAGAGCCGCCAACTGACCACCGCCTGGTGATGAGTAGGATCAGGTGGTGAGGGAGGATATTGAACCTGGCACGCCTAAATGTACTGTGAGAGTGCCCTGGGAATGCCTGGCAGAGGCTCCGCTCTGGGAATTCTTCAACTAGAATGTTGACAGCAGTCTGAAGGAGGCTGATATTGAGTCTATATCGACCATTTTCTCCATCTCCATTGCTGAGGCTGCGGCAAAGATGTTATTGCCTGTTGTGGTGGTAATCCCTGAACCAAATGGTGAACAGAGGAGGTAAGGGTAAACCTGAAGCTGAAGAAGAATTTTTATTGGGCTTACTACACTGTGGGCAGTGGACGGTTACCAGCAGACCAAGAGAATGCGGCTCGTGCAGTAACTGAAGCAAAAACTTCATGGAAACAGAGTTTCAGTTTGTTTTGAAGCAATTCTGGCAAACGAGTGGTACAGGAGGGG